TTCTGAGAATTTTTGTTTACACCAATTTCTTTTTTTTTTTATCTAATGTTTAATTTGAATATTTTGATTATGCGTATATACAAGAGGAAGTTCTCAAAATGTAATTAGCAGAGAAGAAGAAAAAGAGCTGGGAGCCTCCGTATACAAAACAGCTTCATCAATTAGACAGTTCTCAAAATTAATGATTAAATAAAATAGAAATAATTTATAGAATTAGAAAAAAAAAAAAAAAAAAAAAAACTGCCTCTTCTAGGTAGCAATGTTCTTGGGGCAATTTACTAAGTTCTTTTCCTCTGTTCTTGCTGAGAAATTTTCCTAGTTATGTACACCCAATGTGTGCTTGGGTGGTCTCTTTTGGCGCTTTTTACCAAGATGTCCTTAATCTTGAATATTGGTTGATTATGCGTATGATACAAAGAGGAAGTTCTCAAAATGTGAATTAGCGAAGAAGAACAGAGAGAAAGAACGCTGGGGCCTCCCATGTGACTCACCAGCAAGAACAGCTTCGAGTGCAGCAGTTGAGAAACACCGCTTCCCGTCCACACAATAGAACTGACTCTTAAGAGGCATAGAGGGCCAAATACGACTAATCAATGCATCCAGCGGCATTAGAAAGAAAAAAAAAAAAAAAAAAAACTTAAGAGCTGAAAATTTGATGAATCAAACAAATAGAAAAATGTATAGAATTGAAAAAAAAAAAAAAAAAAAAAAACTTAAGAGCTGAAAATTGATGATTAAACAAATAGAAATAATGTATAGAATTGAAAAAAAACAAAAAAGCAAAGAACTTAAAAGTAAAGAAGGTGTTTTTAGGTTTTAAGATATGGACATTCTTGTCTTTTTATAAGGGCATTCTTGTCTTTTTATATGGGCATTCTATTCTTTTTATATGATATTTAACAGAAAAGTGAAAAACTAGATAGAAGGATACAAGGGTTTAACGAAATTAAAAATTGAAAAAACATAATATATGCTTTAAAAATGCGAGAGTAAGCTGGTTAATTTTGACAAAACACGAGGATAAAATCTAATTTTCCTTTAAATTTTTGTGCTTAGTATGAAAAAATAAAAAATTCAATTTGTAGAATTCCAAATGAATTCCACAAACTTAAACAACTCAAAACTTTATGATAAAATTCTCTTTCCTCCTAAACTTCTAAAACTATTATGCTAAGGATATTTTAGGAATAAAAACAAATAAATTTTCAATATTTGAATTTATTCTATACATGAAAAATTCATTTACAAATGTATTCTATCTAGAATTTATGAATGAATTCCACATGCATCTTGAATTCATTTGTATCAAATTGATTGTTAATTTCGAAATTGAAAAAAAAGTAGAGTTATAGCCTTTGAATGATGTTTAAGATTCCACTTAGTGTTTTATGATTTTAATTAGGTCATAGGTTTTATTCTTGTAGTATTTTTAATATAGTTTCATTAGGATTTTTAATTACTTTAATTAGTTTTTATTTAGTTTTATTTATACAATTATTTAGTTTTTAATTTTTCTTCCTTTATTATTTTGATCTCATTTTAGATAGTTTTTGTTGAGCTTTAACTAGGAAATTTTCAATTATCAAATAAGGATGAATGGGGACCACAAATGATGAACTTGGAATCATATTTGATCAACTCGAACTCCTAACTGTAGACTTAATTATTTGCTATTGTAATTTTATTCCTTCATCGACAAATTAGGTGATTTTTCTTATTAAACTCAAATACAGGTTAAGAAGTCTATATAAGGAAGGATCTCTACGATCATTCAAGATTTATGCAACATTCAAAATTTGATATTCATTATTCCATTATGTATACGGTTCTCTCTCTACAAGGCTTCAAGTAATTAAGTTAGATATTAATGATGAGTGTGGAGACCACCAAAAATAATTCTTGCTATCCTTAACTTATGTAATTTGTAGATATGGTGACAAGGGTCGAACCTAAGACTAATTTGAATTGATTCTTAACTGAAGGCCAGTAGATCAAACAATAAAAGTAAAAATGTTGTTTGTCAAATATAGTACTCACAAAGCAATTAAAGTAACCAGAATGCAATAAAAATAGAAGATTAAAATCAATGGACAAAGATTCAATCAAAGGTGATTAATAGAATGAAATTCTCTCGATTGATCATTGATACTGAGATCGTTCAACAATTCGAAAGATAGACACGTTATAATCCTTGAACAAGAGTCTCCGAAAAATCTTTCCAAATTATTAGAAATGGGACAAAATCAATGGACAAAGATTCAATCAAAGGTGATTAATAGAATGAAATTCTCTCGATTGATCATTGATACTGAGATCGTTCAACAATTCGAAAGATAGACACGTTATAATCCTTGAACAAGAGTCTCCGAAAAATCTTTCCAAATTATTAGATTAAACAATACAAATGCCAAGAATAATCTCTAACTAGCAAACAAGATATAATTTAATTTACTAGCAGCAATAAAAACTAGAAAGACCCTGTCCTAATTAACAAACTTTACAAGCAAAGTTCATTTAAAATAGATTGTGAGTTTTCATCATATAATCCAAAAGCCTGGTTACAATTAAATTATATTAACGGCTACTTGAATCAATTCAACTAAACAAATAATACGAATTTAGTTTCATTGATAGCTATAAATCACGAATTCTACGCTGCTGTCTCATTGGATTCATTTAAAATAGATTGTGAGTTTTCATCATATAATCCAAAAGCCTGGTTACAATTAAATTATATTAACGGCTACTTGAATCAATTCAACTAAACAAATAATACGAATTTAGTTTCATTGATAGCTATATGCATTCCTATCAAATTGAACAATGGGCCCTATTGAACAAATAATAAAAAGACAAAAGAGATGGAGTTTCTCATCAATCCAGAAAACAAACAAAGATCAATCGAAATTAAAGAAGAAAAATATCGCATCAAGATCTCACAATCGTTGAAGAATTTCTACTTGAAATCTACCCTTGATTGAAACAAAATATTTGGCCACGCATGCCCATGGAGTAAACACAAGAAAAAATAAACTCTAGAATAACTACTATTTCTAAGATGAGAAGAAGATGATCTCCTCAATAAAATTAAGGTCCTATTTATAACAAGGGAAAGAAATCCTAAACTAGGAAAATAAAATCTAAATATCTTTAGAAAATCCAATAATTAAAAGAAAATTCAATATTCAAATTTGAGTATCTTTTCTAATCCCCGAAATAGTAGACCAGCTGCTTTAAATGATTTCCTTCTAGCTAGCAATGCGTCTCAATCCTAAACAGCTCTGGATGCGCCTCCCACTGAGCTTGCCCAAGCTTAACTTGAAAACTTCTAGAGGGTTTCGGACCTGCTTTGGATGTGTCCCCCCATTAAGCTTGCCCAAGCTTAACTTGAAAACTTCCAAGAGCATCCTAGAAATTCAGGTCCAGCTTGGTAAACTTCTTCAAAACTCCAAAAATTGGCCTCCAAAGCTCTTTTCGAAATGAATTTAGCATAATTTACAGAAAATATGAAAACCAAATGAAAATTCTCATTTTAAACCAAAAAATATCCATAGATAATATTTAAATAAAGAATATTTTATACTAAATTAACTACTTATCAAATTCTCCCACACTTATCCCATGCTTGAACTCAAGCATGACCAAAATTCTCAACCAACCCCACATAGAAGTTCACTTCACCTACCATAGCATTCTCTATCAAGGGATTGAAAAATTTAGGAGGAAAGGCAAGTAAGGTAATCCTATCAAGGCACAGTACTCCAGGATTTGGTGCAAATATTCGAAAGGAAATGAAGGCACATTTCTCTCTCTTTTTATTTATTTATTTATTTTTTATATGCAAACTTTGGAGAACTCATTTTGTTACCACTTTTTTCGTTCTCTTTTATTCTGTTCTTGTTTTTTTTTTTTTTTTTTTTTTAATTATCACTTTGTATTTGTTTTCGTTGAATCAATGCAAACTTTGGAGAAAACTCATTGCTTGTTACACTTTTTTTCGCTTATCCCTTTTAGCTTCTGTTCTTGTTTTTTTTTTTTTTTCTTTTTTTTATTTCTGGTATTTGGTTGCACAAACTTTAGATCGAACTCAAATCCGTGGGCATTACCCGAAAGAGTAGGTCTACTCTTTATCGTTTAAATCTTTATGGCATCCCATCTACTCTTCATGGAGCATGTTATCTGCTTTTTGCGAGCCAATTTGACACTGCTACCTTCCTCTCGCGTGTTATTGACGGGACCGCAAAAACATCGCAACGCTCCCTATCTTCATACCCCCACTGAGCGTAGCTACTTTGGCTCTTCACGCTTATTACAGGGTTATCACACCAAAGTTTTGGTTAAATGGCTGTCTTCTACTATAGGCAAATTTTAAGAACATTTTAAAGTAACTGTCTTAATTGCTACATAACTATGCGGTCTATAATTTTCACCTATTTAATTCGTGACATAGCCTTTAGGGTCACAATGATTCACATCAGCAATTAGAAACAACAAATTAAATTAATTAATTATACCTAAACCGAGGAGCTTAATCCCTGGAGTTTAAGGAAAGTGGCCCTGGACGCATTAATTCAGTACCAGATATAAGAATGAAATGATATAAAGGTATACTGCGCTCACTTATTACAGTGTAATTTTTAGCGAGAAACAAGGGGTTCCAATGTCAAATTAATACTTAATACTCTTGCTAACTAATCTAGCTCAAATCATTTCTATAACTGGCATAAAAAAGCAATGCACGTCAACTAAAAATTTCCGCTTAATAAAAAATCAAACTGCCTTAAAATACATCAAAAACAGTTCAGAGCCATATCTAACGACTGCGAAAAAATCATCGAGAGATATCCTATATGTCAAGCAAGACGAGAGTATCATCATCAAGAGGTAACTCTGCCTCAATAAAGAAAAATTATTCTTTTTATTTATTTATTTATTTTTTATATGCAAACTTTGGAGAACTCATTTTGTTACCACTTTTTTCGTTCTCTTTTATTCTGTTCTTTTTTTTTTTTTTTTTTTTATTTATTTTGTTTGCAAACTTTAGAGAACTCATGTGCATTACCGCTTATTTCGTTCTCTTTTATTCCTCACCTTTTACATTATCGCTTTGCGCAATTTGCACCTTCCATCCTTCCAAAACATGCAGCCATATACCAGGAGTAATGCCTCAGACAGGTTAAACAAAGTTTTGAAATGTGCACAACAATGAATTAAGCGCAAGCAAATTGGCAATTTCACCTATTAACTCAAGCCTAAATGATTCACACAAAAGAGAATGATTAAGGAATGCTATTTACAGGATGGAGAAAAAGGGGGTCTATAATAAAGATAACTAGTACCTTGCCTAAAATCTCAAAAATTCAATCTAACACAGAGAACTCAGTTTAAGCACAAAGAACTTCTCTCAAGAGGTCAAAAGAAAATATTGATCAAGTTAAGGCAAGAGTGAAATTTTGAAATAAAACTTTTCATGTACAAATTTTGAAATAAAACTTTTCATGTACACATCAAACAATCAAAATTTCCATAGGATAAGAACTAAAATTTATTAATTTTTAAGAGCACTTGCTAAACGAAATATCTAAATCAGGTTTAAGAATATGGACAAAATGCTCAAAAAAATCCAGTGCTTCACAAAATATAAACAGAAAATAAACAAATAAAGCACTTCCAAAATCAGACTCCTCCCCCACACTTACTCCTCACATTGTCCTCAATGTGGAATATCAATCAAGCAAAAGGAGTTCCTAACTAAATAAATGAAAGAAAAACTAAAGAGAAAGGATGAGAAACGTCCCTGTGGAGGAGGTTGTCGCTGCCTGTGCTAAGTTAGTGGTGGGGGTTGAGAAAACCCCAAATGTCGTGAGATGGCCTGCAGGGCAGTGTTGATTTCAGTGACTGTGGAGGTGAGAAAATTGATCTTTACTTCCAAACGATCAATTCAGGATGCCAAAGACGTGGAAGCCATAGGGGAAGTGTCAAGAGGAGCTGATGTTGATGGAGCAGCTGCATTGACCTTTCTTTTGCGGAAGACGTGCTCATGTCGTGGGATAACAGGACCAGCAGGAGCAAAAACAAAAATGCCACCTTCCTCACAGCATAGTAATCCTATAGAATCCAAAATAGACAAATTCAAAGAAGGCATTTCACAAGCAACGTGCAGGTTATTGTCATCTAGGTCGAGGAATCCCTCTCTAACAGCCAACATAGTAATAATTGAACCTAAGAGCATGCCTCTCCTAGCTACAATTATTCTTTCAAACTGGGTAGCAAGCCAATAAACGAGATTAACTTTCCTTTTATTCACTATGCACCATAAGAAAAATAACTCAGCTTTTGAAAGAATAGTGGTATCCTCATTTCGGCCAGAAAAAGTAGAGGCTAAGAAACGGTGAATATATCTCAAAGCTGCATTCTAAATAAGGTTAGCCTTAGACCGGCTAGCATTGAAGGTGATGTCAGACTGGCCACTGAGTGTCCTATATGCCTCTAAAGCTTGAAAATCATCAGGATAATCACAGTAAGCGCGTAAATACTCAGGACTCTTAGCCGACTCACTATCAGTGAGACCCAAAGCAATACTAAAAGAAGTGACAGAAAAGCTACGCATTTGACCCAACAGCCTAACTTGAATGGTACCGGGAGTACACAACTGAAAAGATTCAGATGGATGATCAAACTCAAAAGTAGAATAGAATTCCTTTCATAACTCTATGTATGCAGGATATTTGCAGCAAAAGAATTCTCTCCATCCTATATTATCAATAGTCATAGAATTCATCATGCAATTTGAGCTCGATAAGAGTTTGCTCATCAATGGACTTACAAGGCACAATATCAAGGTGTTGGAAAATATCATACCTTTTCTTTTGCGCTAGGACAACGAAATCCAGTGTTCCGTTCAAGCCAGCAGCGCCAGGCGGGTACTTGCTCTTCCCTTTCCATATCCTAGCTCGGCCTTTAGGTGGAGCATGCTCATTCCCCTCGTCAGCGCTTGAGACAGGCTGCGCCGCGTCGGTATGGGCACCAACGGCCGGCTCTTGGCCACTGTCAGACTCGGATAAGTGGCATGGAGGTGGAATTTTAGCGGAATCAGACTCATCTATCAACTCGGGTCGCGAGGCCCGCTTCTTTAGCGCTATGGCAGTTTCCGCAAGTTCCCTTGTCTTCTGGGTTTGGGAACTGGTCTGTCTCCGAGAAGGAGGAGGAGGCAGAACCGATTTGGGCTTCTGTCGCCTGAGTCGAGCGATGGTCGCGACATGACCGGTGGGACGTGCGGTGTTGAGAGGTAAGGGGGCGAGCGCCGTACCCGTTGATGGCGATGGAGATTGCGACACGTCTCCGTCTCCGGAACTGTCGCGCGACTCAGACGGCAAGGGCTAGGCAGGACGTAGCTCCACCAGAGCTGAACCGGCGGGAAGCCCGGGGGCTTGCTACTTGGTGCGCGGCATCAGGAACTCCGGCATCGGCGACAGATGAAGAATCGAGCCGCTCTGCTTTGCAATCTCGCTCCTGCTTTTCCTTGGAATGGCGTTTGGATAGCTACCTTTTCTAACAAAAAGAACAAATTGAAAATATAGGGCAATTGTAAATAAAAAGAAAAAGAAATAACAAAAATAAAATAAAATAGAAAAAGAAGAAAAATAAAAAGAAATAGTAATTAAAAGAGAATACTAAAGATAAAAACACTATTACTATCACTGAGAGGTAAAAATAGAAATAAAAGTAGCCATTAAAAACCATTTTAACCATGAGAAGGTAATTTCAACCTCTATAGTATTCAGCTCTTATCCAAAAAAGAAATCATGCCATTTTAGTGGAGGGGAGACGGAAGATGACTCAAAAAATAAAAGAGAAATAAAAACAAAACTTAAAAAGGAATAAGATAAAAAGGCTTGGGCAATAGGCATGGCCAACGGTTCGGTTCTAACTGAAACCGAACCAGAACCGAACCGTACCGTAGACGAACCGAAACCGGACCGAAACCGGCGGTTCATAATTTTGAACCGGAACCGGCGGTTCAAGGGCCGGTTAAGGTTCATGTGATAATTTTGAACCGGAACCGAGGCGTTAATATCCAAAAGGGCCGGGTTTAAGGTTTCAATGTGGATGTTTAAAATATGAAAAAGCAAGGAACCGGCCCGGAACCGGTACGGATGAGAACCGGCGGTTCCGGTCCGGATATCGAACTGGATACCACAGAACAAAAAAATTGTAGCCTTAAAATTTTTATAAAAAAATATATATATCAAATGAAATTTGATATTGTAGTTGATTTAGATATTATGGTGAAGAGACAGTAAAATGGTAAAATATAAAAATTATAAAAAGTAAAAATACACATTTTTTTTACTTAATTTATACAAAAAATGGTACATGAATAGTTGATTTATAAAAAATAAAAAAAATACTTTCAAGTGTATAAAAAAAAAATGTAACGAATAGTTTTTGATATGATAGGTGTTATTTATTTATTTTTTGGTAAATAAATTTTATTCATTTTTTAATCATTTATTTATTTTTTTACTGTAATTTATTAAATTATCCAAAAATATAGTTATTATTTTTCTTTTATAGGGGACAATTTGGAAAACTAATAAATGAGAAACATGTATAAATATGATGAGTTGATGATTTTTTATTTCACAACCAATTATATCATAACTCTTCTCTTATTATATCCTAACTCTCTCCTTATTCTCATCAAAATTCTCAAAATCAAATTTCACTCATAAGTTCATTATTTTTTATCTAATTGCATTCATTTTCACCTAGAATATTGGAATATCTATTGTTTATTTTAAAATATTTCCTTTACATTCAAATATTTCCAAATTCCCTTTCTCTAATATCAAATTTTTCCCATTTCATAAATTTACTATCATTTGATTTTTAAAATATTTTCATTAGTATTTTTTTGAAAATAAAAATCATATTCCAACTCATTCCAGTTAATTTTATTATTCACAATTTATAGTTTTTTATATTAGTAATTAGCAAAAATTTAGTTAAAAATTTAAATGGTAATAATAGTTCTAAGTTAGTTTTAATAGTGTTTTCTTTTAATTTATATAATTCATATTAGTTAATAATAATTTAACATTTTAAAATTAATTATTATTCATATCGAACGGAAATCAAAATTTTATTATTTTTTTTAAAAATTTATGCATAATGCAGGAACCGAATTCGGACCGTAATTTGAACCGTCGGTTCGCCGGAACCACGTGCTGAACCAATGCCGGAACCGGAACCGGACCGGAACCGGAAGGTTCAAGGGTCGGTTCACGGTTCAAAAATTATTTAAACATCATATCGAACCGGCGGTTCAGATGAACCGGAAACCGGCGGTTCAACTGAAACGGAACCATTCGACTATTGCCGGCGGTTCAGTGAACCGGAACCGGCGGTTCACTGAACCGGCCATGCCTATTGGGCAAGCCTAGTATTGGGATGCCTCCCAACAAGCACCCTTGTTTAATGTCTTAGGCTAGACGTTCCTGTCTCAATCCACCACCTTTGGACTTTTCAAATTCATTTTTTCTGGCTCAAAAGTCTTGGATCCTTCATAAAATGGCTTGAGACAGTGACCATTAACGTTGAAAATCTTGTCAGTTTCCATGCTCTTAATCTCTACTGCACAATGAGGAAATACATTAGCAACAGCAAAAGGCCCTATCAATCTAGACTTTAATTTACCAGGAAATAATTTTAATCTTGAATAAAAAAGTAAAACTTTCTGTCTAATTTTAAAATTTTTTCTGAAGATCATTTTGTCATGGAAAGTCTTGGTCTTGTTTTTATAGACCCTGGCACTTTCATAAGCTTCATTTTTTAATTCTTCTAGCTCTTGCAATTGTAGCTTTCTCTGATCACTTGCTTCCTCTAGTCTGATGTTGCACTGCTTAACAACCTAAAACACCCAGTGCTCTAGCTCTACTGGTAGGTGACATGGCTTACCAAAGACTAAGCGATATGGGACATTCCTATGGGGGTCTTATATGCTGTCCGATAGGCCCAGAGAGCATCATCTAGTTTAAGGCTCCATTGTTTCCTAGAGGGATTAGCTATCTTTTCTAATATAGACTTTATCTCTCTATTAGGCACTTTAGCTTTCCCACTTGTCTGAGGATGATAGGCTGTAGAAACACGGTGTGTAACTCTGTACTTCTTCAAGAGACTAGCTAGAATTTTATTGCAAAAATGAGTCCCCCGGTCACTTATGATAGCTCTAGGTATGCCAAACATGAAAAAAAATGTTACTTCTGATGAAATTCACCACAGTCTTAGCATCATCAGTCTTGGTAGCTTTGGCTTCCACCCACTTTGATACATAATCTACATTAAGCAAGATGATGAATTTCCATAGGATGTTGGAAATGGTCCTATGAAATCGATACCCCACACGTCGAAGATTTCACATATCAGTATGGGAGTGAGTGACATTTGATCTCTTTGTCCTAAATTTGCAGTCCGCTGGCAATTCTCACAAGTTTTGCAAAACAAGTATGAGTCGCAAAACACTGCATGCCAAAATAGAACACAGTCCAGCACTTTGCGGGCAGTCCAACTAGTTCTAAAGTGCCCTCCACATGCATAAGAATGGGAGAATCGCAGCACGGCCTGAATTTATGTATCCGTTTTACATCTCCTGATGACCTAATTAGAGCAACTTCCATATATAAGGGTCATCCCAAACATAGTGTCTAGCTTCCCTCCTAATTTTGTCTTTTTTGGCTCTGAATAATTCCTTCGAGGGTGAACCTGTAATAAGATAATTAACAACGTCAGCAAACTATGGAATAAAATTTTCACTCAAACTATAGAGATATTCATTCCGAAGGTCATCTTTCAAAGGAGATGGCTTTTCATTGAATGATAGCGTGCTGAGATGATCAGCAACTAAATTTTTGGAGCCCTTCTTGTTGAGCAGTATTTAAGTGCTGCATGATCAGAATAAATAGTCACTTTGGTCCCTAACAGTTAGGACCGAAATTTCTCCAATGCAAACACAATTGCCAAAAGTTCTTTCTCTACGGTAGAGTATTTGTATTGTGCATTGTCCAATGTCCTTGACGCATAGTATATCATATGCGGATTTTTCTCGATTTGTTGTCCTAAGACAGCCCCTACGGCGTGATTGCTCGCATCACACATGGTCTCAAAAGGATATTCCCAATTTGGAGGCTAAATTATTGGTGTAGAAATAAACTCTTCCTTTAGCTTGTCAAATGCTTTTTTACATGCTTCGTCGAACTCAAATGGCACATCCTTTTGATGGAGCTTACAAAGATGTTGTGTCACCTTTGAAAAATCCTTTATGAAACACCTGTAAAATCCTGCATGACCAAGAAAAGAATGAACTTTGACAGTGATTTTCACAAGTGTACGAAATCGCAACAAGTAATATATAATGAGTAGAGTATCGTTCTCTCGAGGATTGTGTATCAAGTACCAAAATTATGTTAACCTACTATTATTTAAACGACGATTTAGGGAGATTATTTTAAGAAACTAAATTCGACAAATAAAGATAATAAATAAAACGACGATTTAAGGGAGATTATTTTTAAGAAACTAAATTCGACAAATAAAGAATAATAAAAAGAAATCAAGCAAGCAATTTTTTGAATTAAAAGACATCCCAAGAGATTAAAAACTATTAGGTGACTTTAAAACTATCAAATTTAATTCTATCCAATTTATTTTATTTTTATTAGTTCGTTAATCAATTTTAATTGTTCAAGTAGGGGAAACAACCCTAAAATCACTAACAAGCTCTCCCGATGTATTGTTAACTATTTTAACAAAGTCTAATTACCTATCTTCCAATAGTTCAATCAAACATGAATTAAATCATTAAGTTTTATGGTTTGTTTATGAATTCATAACCTAAGGTTGTTCACTTATGAAAACCCCCCATAAGTCACACCATATAGCTTCCGCATCAAGTTATTATTCTCATGTAATTTATTTCATATCAAAAACCCTTCTCCGGATAGTGATTAATGAAGTAAATCAATCCAGGGGAGAAACTCTGCCTGGAAGCATTAAGTTCAATAATAAATTATACATTGAACAAAGAAAAACAAGTCTAATATTATAAATTGGAAAAGAAATTAAGCTACGTCAAATCACTAGTATTAGAGTTTAGTTCGACATAGTAATTAAATAAAACTCAATTAAACTTGATAATAATTCCATAATCAATGTGAATAATGAAAAGTAAAAACAAGCTTGATAAAAATTCCAAATTAAACTTGATAATAATTCCATAATCAATGTGAATAATGAAAAGTAAAAACAAGATTAAGAGTTTAGAGATAAAAACTAGTCAAATAACATGGGCGGCTTCCTTGAATCTTCACACAATGCTTGATCACTTGAAGTCTTAAAGAGAGAAAAATAATAGAACAAAAGATTATTAAACCAGAAATATCTTTACAGTGAATTGGTTCTTTCTTTATAGAATTCCTGGGAGAAAATCTGACTTTGGTTAGGAAATTGAGTCTTCATTAAGTAAGAAATCTTTTGGAAATAGGAAATTGTTTAGGCTTTGAATTTCTTCT